AAATGACTCAACAGCACTTAACAACATTATAATCAATTACTTCAAAGAGAGTAGTTTTTGGAAAAACAAACAAACAAACATAAAGAACACGAATGTCTATTTCTTCTTATATTAAAATAGCCAATTACAATTAGGATTTAAGATAAAGGTCCACACACAAAGTTGATGTTAATAAGATGACAATATTCTCAACTAATTTTAAATAAAAAGATTTATTAGATATACCAATATGGATTAATTTACTTGTAAGTTAACAGGAAAAGGAGACTTAGTGGCAAAACAGTTTGGTTAGTGTTTGACTACTAACCAAAAAGGTGGCAGCTAGAACGTAGACAGCAGTTTTGCAGGAAAAAGACCTGGTTACCTGTTCCTGTAAAGACTGCTTGTTGTTAAGTGCCACAGAGTTGCTTCCAACTCAACAGCAGCCCTCTAGAGATTACAACGTAGGAAACCCTATAAAGCAGTTCTACTTTGACACATCAACTTGTTAAGAGTCTAAATAACTTCGTGGTACCCAGCAAAAACACTGACAATCAGAAGGTTTCTATTTCAGGGTTGCTTTCTTGTTTGTTTTTAAGCTGTAAACAGGAAAGACTAGAGTAGGTAACAGTTAGTTCTAAATTATTATTCAAAACTGACAGTCTCTAATTTCTTTTGTGCAGGAGCCCTGGTAGTGTAGTGGGTTAAGCACTGGACTGTTCACCACAAGGTCCGTAGCTCAAACCACCAGCCACTCCAAAGGAGAAAGATGAGGCATTCTGCCTTTGTAAAAATTTGACAGCCTTGGAAATCCTATATTGTTGTTGTCACGTGCTGTGCAGTTCTGTTCTGGCCTACAGGGTTGCTAGAGTCAGAATCAACTTGACGCAGCGGGTGGGTATGGCCTATGAGCTTCTTTATTCAAAGTTACCTAGTCCTGGTAGCATAGCTGGATACAATCTTGGGCTGTTAACCGCAAGATCTGCAGTTCAAATCTACTAGTTGCTCCAAAGGACAAAGATGAGGCTTACTGCTCCCAATAAGATTTAAGCCTCAGAAACCCTTTCCCGGGTCACAATATGTAGAGGTGACTCAAAGAAACACAACCATCACCACCACTAGTAAAGGTGGCAAAAAGAGGAGGTACAGGGATGAAAACTACAAATACTTCTATTATTTAACATATTTAAATATAAATATAAATCAAAGGCCTGACAGATTTTTAAATCTACTTCTAAAGATTGTATTAAAGTGATTAACTCAATTAAATAGGTATCACAATGCACTGAACTTCTACATACCTGGCTTCATAACTACAAGATGCAATTTCAGCCTTTGACAAAACAGAATCAATTCCATTTGTTTGTGCTGAATCCTGAGTCTCCCACACTGATGGATCAGGTATTTCTGCTTTGAAAATAATAAAATTTAATTATTATATGTTAAAAACTGATTTCTCTTAACTTTCATTCAAGAAATCCATTTTCCACTGCTTCCCTATACAAATGCTTAGTAAATTCCAAATCGTTATCTTCAACTGGTTTCTTTCCTTAATTGAGAAAAGACAACTCTAGAACTATAACATGGTTTGCTTCCATTGTACTCTTCATCAGCAGTCAGGTAAACACTTAGCACAAGCAATGTAAAGTGTCCTGTTTTAGTATTAGAGATTAAGAACAAAACACACAGAAAAATCAATGTAAAATATCCTGTTAACATGATCTCTTACAACTGACAAAGATAAAACGTGATGAGGAAGATGACCCCCTCCCCCACCCCCCATTACCTTAAGATGACTGTAAACATCTCTGTAACAGCAAACAGTTAAAGAGAAATACACATTTCTCTCAAGGCTCTTTGCTGTTTTTCCTAAAAGAACTAGCTGCAAAATTTAAAGCTAACTATTATATTCAACAAACATCCCATTCCTACAAGTCATCTGATCAAAAAGCCATTTAATACCTCACATAACCATAAAGAGGTCTTTGTCCCAAATTTAAGAGTTTTCTTTTAAACACATATTAGGAAAAAGAGCTTCACAAAATTATTACTTTCAGGTAATTCCACTTTTGGTTTAATAATGCATGTTCAATTAAAAATGTTAAATTGTGGGGAGAATATCAATTGCTTTATAGAACACAACTGTTTTCCAAATAGTATAAGCTAACCTATAGCTCTTCATATCCTAACCAAATGTACGGCTTTACACAAGAATATAAAACACACAGCATTCCGAGCGCCTACTAGCTGCCTGCCACTTTACTTCCTTTACCAAACCTTTAGTATCACTAGTAATTGAGAAATAGATTTAAAACACAGTTTCAGTTATAGGTCTCTTAGGATACTATTATTAGGTTACAAAAAGAGTATGCTGTAAATACATATCACACATTCTATAAGTACAATCTCAGCCATGTTTCCACTATTACAAACAAAATACCAGAGTAAAACAGGACCAAGAGATATCAGTGCAGGTAATTTTAAGACGAACCTATCTTGAGTACACTGTGACAATATATAACTAACAAACCCAGCATTTCTTTTCTGTTTATTTCAGAGACTTAACGTTCCACGAGAAATCAGCAGTTAACGTACTCCCAGAAAAACATGGCAAAATATCTAGCCTCATAGACTAAGACAACTCTTCCTGGTGTGACTCCAGGAATCATCAACATCTTTCTTTCAATTATGTAACACATATGCACGCATTTCTGGATTCCAGCACCCATACAGGCAAAGTATAAATGCAAATCAAATTCTAAGGATTGCCATTTCGAATCGGATAAAATCCTGTTAGTCTCAAATATAAAAACAGCACACTGTTTGCAACCCTGTTACAAATTAAAGACAGAATGCAGAGTAGAGGACTCAGGGCTTTTGAAGGCTTTTAAAAGGCTACGTTACGTATCTTTGATAGTCCACTATTCTAACCTGCAAACAATGTAAGAGTATCAGGATTGTAAATCACAGTGCAAAACAGAGAGTGAGACTAGACCAAAAACAAAAGAAGTGCTGAAGCCTGAACAGTCACAACCAGCTGCCTCTCAAAGGTAAGGTGTTACTATGTAGGATTTACGCCTTCAAGTTGGGGACTTATGTGACTTCTGTATTTGAAAGGCTAGTTAAATAGCCTAAGATACTTGTTCTGGAAATCAGAGAAAAATCATGCTCGAGGTGCGAATAGTCTCTCTGGTCCATGTGCTCCCAATGCCCTGGCCTGAGACGCAGCACCATTGTGTTTCTCTTCACTGGGCTGGCTGACCTTTTCCACAGTGCAGCAGAGTGCGTGGATCCCTCCATGAGCGCAGTGAGTTGCTTCATGTGAGATTCAGGGCAATGCAGGGACACACTGTCCTCACTGGAGGGCAAAGTAGAGAACTGCTCATCAAAACTTGACAAACTAGACGGGCACATGGAGAATGTGGAGGAACGGTTGGAGAAATCAGAGGCCAGGACCCAAGTCTGTGAAAAAGAAATCGCTGAGAATAAATCTATGACTAACACGATTTAAAAACCTGTTGTTCTTTAGAATGAAAACTGAAGTTGTTGAAGGGATAGGAAATATCTGCATCCTGGGAATCCAGGATGGGGTATAAAAGGCCCCAACCATGAACCTTGAGCATAAATGGATTCCAAACAATGAGATCATCAATGAGAAGTGTCACTGTTGAGTATTACTCAGGAAGCAACTTCAACGAGGAAGTCATGGATGGAGATTCCCTGGGAACAGTGGTCTGACTGATTAGACAAAGAGTTTCTGAATATGGGGAATAAGAAACTGAACTTTCTATAAAGGGCTGATGATGCTATTTATCCTAATACTTTGCCCAGTCACACCAACTCAAACATTAGAAACAACAACAAAAAATTTTCTTTCTTTTGTTTTTTTAAAGCTAGCATATGGAGCCAAAGATTCTAATTCTCAATGTTTTAAAATTTAGTGTCTTATCTAATGACCCAGAGAAAGAGAGATCATGAAACAGCAAGAAAAGAAGAACAAAGGCACTGAAAACGCAAGCTCTAAGCACAAGCTTAGTTGCAGCAAAATTTTATAATAGGACAATCAATTTATTTATAATACAGCAAATATTTTGGTAAGTTCCTAGTGGGTCAAAAGATTTAGGGCATAAAAGTGAATGGGATCAAGTTAAAGCAAGAGTATAAAATACAAAGTACTATATTCACTTTTCCTAGACAGAGAAAATCTATTTTTGACCATTTTCAATGGCAAATGAAAATTTAAAATTTCTAATAATTTTACCTTCTGGTTTACCACCCACCTTTAGGGGTGGAATGATGTGAATTATTAAAAGGTCATTAAAATGTTATGAAAATCCACTGGCTAACCTGGTGAAGACAATTAGCTGACCAATGACAGTACTCCGTTAACAAGCTATTATTTATGGTCAGACTGACTGTGATGGAAGGAAAGACAAGAGAGAACAAGCTCTGCCACACTGGGGAGCATGTGCTTGCTGATGTCAACATGTAGACAGAGGCTGCTGAAAGAAGGGCGTGTGTAATACGCACAAGACTCTACTCACAACACAACTGAAGAGCCACTCCTAAGGTTTTACTACACATGGCTAGTGATTTCCTCCTTCAACACTCAGTCAGTGTTTACTTCTATTACCCAGTTGGACATTTCCTTAAACTACACATTTGTTTTCTAAACAGATTTTACCTTTCTAACGGTATCACACAGAACACACATACATACACAAAACTAACCTACCACAAAATTATACTGACAATACTTAAAACAATGTCCACATTGTCATATACTACGGTATACAACTAACTCAACAAAAACAATTCTACATACAGAACAGCTGCTCCAAGATCTACTAATGAGACAAATAAATCCAGAAATCAAAAACCTCTTAAAAGGTTTAAGAGACCCCAAAAAAGCCATACAACACCTGGAAAATGTATGTTTACATGATGCAAAAATGTGCACCCACATTTCATTTCTACCATATGTATACAATGAAGGAAAGGATAGTAACATAAAAAATATGTATGTGTTACTCAGAGATGTGCAGTGGTTTTCTTTTCTCTTAATGTCATTGGGACCTTTTCTAAAACAAGCCCAAGGTTTTGTGAAGGAACTGTAAAAACTGGAAGAAAACCAAATTGTATGTCTTCTATTACACTGAGTATTTTCTGACTAGTTTCTGATTAATCTTTGTCTGGAAAAACTTGTAGCTTTGCAGATATCCAAGAAGAAACTGTCATCAGGGTCAAAGAATTTAATTTCTAAGCAATTATTTCTCAGGGTAATAAAGGAGAACACACAAAGAAAGGGAAATCTTAAACAGTACTGTGATTTATACAATTTATTATTTTTCTAAAACGTGAAAGCCAGAAAAAACGAACTCGTTTCCTACACGAAAGATATAAAAAGGAAACAGGTTTTTACTCCAAACAGTTTTTAAAGTTCTACTATTTCTTACCCCACCTCTTCAACAAATCTTTTAGCAATGCAAACTTGACCATCCCGGCAGTGAGACACTGAACAAACTAGTAACTCTTGGGTTTTGAGACTTCCACAAAAACATGCCCAACACTTTCATCATGGATCTAAGTGTATACAAAGCAATCTAATCACACCTCGTAAACCATTCTTCACTGTCTGTCCTTGGAAAATATCGCCATCTAATTCAACAAAACAGTAATTTGGAGAAAATAACTACAAACCACTCCTTTGTATTACACTGAGATTTTGCTTTGATTTAAAGATTTCACCAATTTCCTTAAAACTCTTTGAAAGAAAAAGCTAATTATTTCAACTCTGCTTTCATTTCTGCAACATTAATACCAACAGCAAAATCCAGAAGTCTTCCACAGGAGCACTAGAACTTCAAAGAGAGCTCATTATTTGTACCTGCTTTGCCTTTCAGGATTTTATTCTGATAATAATGCCACTCCAACTGGGGGTTAGCACCAGGGCGTAAAGGTGCCCTTCCTGTGCCTCTGTTACTTGTAACAGCCACCGGCTTTCCTGCAAGGAAAAGAATAGAATTATTTCTAAATCTAAGTATTGGAATATTAACAATATTCACAACTTACAAAGGAATAGTTTTCAAAGGCTCTTTTAAAAATTTTTCTCCCCTTTAGTTTTATTTTGGCTCTAATCTTTAAAGAAAGCAGTGTCTTTTAAAGATTACCAATCTCAAAAATCATGTACGTTTCTCTCAGCAACAGCCAAAAAAATAACCTACTGTGAAAATTTTGAAACATTTATTCAACTTAAAAGCAGCACTGCTACTTATATCTCAGTGGTTTTTGTTTCATTTCACACAGGAGAAAACAGGTAACACAGAGCCCATATTCAGACTAGAGGACTGGAGAGAGAAAAAACACTCAGTACATATACCTGCTTTGTATTTCTGGCCCTGGAATCAGAAAAGTAGGGTAATATCTATTACTAATTTTTCAATTTTATAGTAAGAGAAACTAATTATAGACATAGGCATTAATCTGACTTACCATAGGATTAAACATGACTTATAGTTCTTCAGATACATTTTAACTATAATCAAAATGATTTTCATGTATCATTTCCTTTTATGTGAGTTGACACAAAACTATTAACTTTGTGATGCACTAGCCATGTATGATTCAAACATATTTAACAGATGCTCTTGTTGTGACAAAAAAATCCCACAAAAAATCAACAATGCATCAAAAAGTCATTCATTGGCCTCATTCTGTCACAAGGAGAAAAGAAGTCTAAATACATGCTAACAAAATGGGTGAACCTTGAAAACATGATGCTGAGTGAAATCAGACATAAAAGGACAAATAGGGCATGACCCCATTTACATGAAGTATCTAGAATCGGTAAACGCACAGAGAGAAAAGCTTAAGGGGATTGGAGGTAGAGGTAGGAAATTGGGAGTTACTGCTTATGGGATACTGAGTCTTTGGTGCAGGGTGATGAAAACAACCTTCTGGAAACAGTGGTAATGGTTGCACAATATGGTGAATGTAATCAATGTCACTGAAATACATATTTTAAAATAATTTAAATGGCAAACCTGTTATATTTTGCAATAATAAAATTATTATTATCAAAGATACTCGTGGGCTAGAGGAAATTCCTCAACATCCTAAAAATTCTTTTCAAAACTACCCAAGATGACAAAAGTCAAGTTCTCATATTAACCCAGCATCTCTGTGTCATAATCAAGTAACTAAGAAATGACTCTACCAAGAAAACACTAATAATCATCTCAGAGATAACTAATGAAAATACTCTAAAGTAAATGCTTTTTTAAAAGCACTGACTAGTTCATCAATACTTGAAATTTCATTAAAAGACTGCACAAATGACTTTTCACATTCTAGAACTATGCAATAATAAGATTATTCTACAACCAAAGGGCTGAAATGGTCACCAGCATCAAAGTAGGTTAATCAAGTTATCTGGTAAGTTAGCGTTTGTTTTTGCTGGGTCCCAGTGATGCTGTCTACCTGAAAATTTCCATATATTAACCAAGTAATCAACACAGATAAAAATATAGATGAAAATGCCCAATGTAGGTCTTAGCCTACATTAATCAGATGATAGATTCTTCACCTGATAGTGCATTCTTCTCTGAAGACTATCATTCACCACAGGAAGAAAGACTTCTAAATTCCCTGCATCGTTCTTGATAATGGAGTACAGAAAATTTGGAAACAGGCATTTGAAAGTATTTTTTTACACATTTCTGTGATCCCTTAGCATATTTAACAATATAGCAGTTTTATAAAAACATAAATGAGAATACAGACCTTTGAGATCTGGTCTATTTCGGATACCCACTGATACAAAGAAGCAATCCATATCAACATGCATTATACAGCTCTGATGTCTGGGTGAACTCAATACTGACATATTTCCTAGAAAAAAAAGAGAATATTCAAACCCTAAACTAATTTTTAATATTAAAAAATTAAGTGTAGTTAACACTAAAAAAATTATATTTAAAGGATGTTTACAAGCGAAATGGAGTTATTAAAAACTAAACAAAAACCCAAAGAGTCTATTGGAAATTATTTCTATCACCTTTTAAGTTAAATTTCAGATTCTTCCAAAGTAATTCAGAGAAACCAATTTAGTTTCTTTTACGCTTCAAAACAAAATTTAAAACGAAGACATGTCTCCCCATTCTATATCCTAATAAAGTCTCTGAATAAACATTTGTCAACAAAGTTGAAAAATTATTTCTATATGCTAAATAGATTTTATGAAAGTTTACAATCTATGCACTTTGTTGCATGGAGCTAAGAAACTTTGGATAATTAGTGTTCCACATATTCTACTATAAACATTCCATGATAAAATAACAAAAAAGAAATTGCTATTATTATTGAGTATTTGGTCGATCCAACACAGGCCAGTGCTGTGTAATAACTTTTGTTGTTGCCATTAGGTGCTGTTGAACCAGTTTGGGACTCATGTTGAGCTCATGTGACAGAGAGAACGACCTCACAGGGTTTCCTAAGATTCCATCTTCACCGGGACAGACTGTCACATCTTAACACCCTAGGAGTTGTTGTATGGGTCTGTTGGTAGCGAGCATTCGAAAGTAGCACCACCAGGGCTTTACAGGTATGCTGCTAAGGTGCCGTCGAGTCAGTTCTGACTCACAGAGACCCTGTATAGCGTTTCTGAGGAGCAGCTGATGGGTTTAAACTGATGACCTTGTGGTTCGCAGTCCAGTGCTGAACCTACAGTGCCATATCAGGAATTCTCACAACACTACCAGGCAAGTAATCTTAACATCCCACTGGATAAATTAATAATTACGCAAGTTTTACACACAGTTAAGTGTCTGTACTTGATTAGGCAGTCTGCTTTCAAAGAGCCCTCACATCACCTTGCTGTTGTTCTAAAATGATACATGGGGGTAGGGGTTTCAAAAAATTTATGGAAAAATCCCTTATCTTTCTATTCCATTCTTCCACCAATATTATTAAGTCCCTTTGTACTTCAAAACTAACATATGAAACAATCTGTAAATAAATGGAATTTTCTCCTAATGCTGATAAATACTAATATATGTGTATGTATAAGCTGTAGGATAAGAACTGGATCACAAAGTTGGTTTCAACCACTAAGTCAGCCGTTCAAACTTAACAGCACTTCCTTGTAAATTCTATACAGGGTCACTAAGAGAGCTGGATCCAATGTGTGAGATAGCAGTAACAATATGTGAGATAGCTTTGAAGATGTACACATTTAAGGAGCCTAAGGACTGTGGCTGCTAGTGACTATGAGCCCCACAGAGATTCATTATCTTTACCCTAACCTAGCTAAGGCAGAGCTCTCCTCTCCACTCATCTCACCCTTCACTTTTCCCCCTGGTCCTCCAAGATACACACCTAGAAATAGAACCTGACATCGTAAATTCTGATCTCATAAAGGGATTTTCTCTAATGGGCTTGTTGTTAGTCATCAAGTTAGTTCTGGCTCATAGCAACACTCTGTACAACAGAACGAAATCCTGGTTCAATCCTGCATCATTCTCACAACCATTCCCTTGTTCCAGCCCACTGCTGCAGTCACTGATCAATCTGTTTTGTTGAGGGTTTTACTTTTTGTTTTTGTTGACCTTCTACTTTACCAAGTATGATGTCCTTCTCCAGAACTGGTCCACCCTGATAGCATGTCCAAAGCACATGAGACAAAGTCTCACCATCCACACTTCTAAAGAATATTCTGGCTGTACCTCCTCCAGCAGGTTTGTTCCTTTTTCTGGCAGTTCAAGGTATATTCAATATTCTTCATCAATACTATAAGGCAAAGGCATTAATTCTTCAATCTTTCTTATTGACTATCCAGCTTTCACATGCATATATGGAAATTGAAGTTTTCATGGCTTGGGTCAGCAGCATCTTAGTCCTCAAGATGACATCTTGGCTTTTTAACACTTTTAAGAGATGTTTTGCAGGAGATTTCGACAATGCAATATGTTGTTTTATTTCTTGACTGTTTCTTCCTTAGGCGTTGATGGTAGATACAAATAAAATAAAATCTTTAACAATTTCAATCTTTTCTACATTCACCATGACATTGCTTACTGGTCCAGTGGTGAGTTTTGCTTTCTTTACATTGAGTTGCAATCCATAATGAAGGCTGTCGCCTTAGTCATTAGTAAGTACTTCAAGTACTCTTCAATTTTAACAAGCAAGGTTGTGTTATCAGCAATCGCAGGCTGTTAAGGAGTCTCCAATTCTGATGCTGTATCCTTCTTCATAGAGTCCACAATCTCATATATCTGCTCGGCATGGAGACAGAATAAGCAGAATGGAAAGACACAATCCTGATGCATACCTTAAAACCACACAATATTCCCTTGTTCTGTTCTAACATCTGCATCTTGGTCTTTGTATAGGTTCCTCACGAGCACCATTAAGTGTTCTAGAATTCTCATTCTTCAAAAAACAGAAAAACATCTGTTTTTCTTTACTTTCAGCCAAGATCCACCTGACATCAGCAGTGATTTTTCTCATTCCATGACCTCTTCTGAATCCAATTTGAGTTTCTGGCAGTTTCCTATTGATGGACTTCCACAACTGGTTTTGAATTATCTTTTAATTTACTTGCATGATACTGACACTAATAACTTTCACATTCTGTCAGATCAATTTTCTTTGGAATGGACAAAAATATGGATCTCTTCCAGTTGGTTGTCCAGGTTGTGCTGTCTTCTAAATTTCTTGGCATAGATGAGTGACTGCTTCCAGCTTTGCATTCATTTGTTGAAACACCATGGATGCTATTTCACCAATTCTTGGGGTCCTGTTTTTCACTAATGCCTTCAGTGCATCTTAGATTTCTTTGCTTCAATACCATTGGTTCTTAATTACATCGTACCTCCTGAGATGGTTGAACTGAAGGCCAACCAATTTTTTTGTTAGTGACTCTATGGTTTCATCTTCTTTTGATGTTTTCTGAGGCTTAATTTTTTTCTTCAGTTCTTAGTTTGAGAAATGTTAATTAAGCAGTTGGTTTTCTAACCCCAGGTTTTTGCATCTTTCAATATAGTACTTTGTCTCCTTGAGCTCTCTTTGAAGTTTTCTGTTCAGCAATATATGTATGTCATCATCTCCTTCTTTGGCTTTAGCTACTTGACATTCAAGAAGTTTAGGTCCCTTGTAACATCCAATTTCATCACTGTTTTTCCTGTCTTTTACTTTCTGTTTTGAGCAATGTCCTGGATGTCATCCCACAACTCGTGTGGTCTTCAGTCCTTAGTGCTCAAGGAGCCAAATCTAGTCTTGAAATGGTCTCTAAATTCATGTGCAGTATACTGAACATCGTTCTTTGGCTCTTAGAGACTTGTGTTCATTTTCTTCAGCTTCAACTTGAACTTGATGGTCTGTTTCTCAATCACCTACTAGCCTTTGCTCAGATAATGTGGAGCTTTTTCATTGCCTCTTTCCACAGATGTAGTTAAATTTACTCCTGGGATTTCAGTCTAGTGAGGTCTATAATAGTCACTTTTGTTGAAAAAGTATTTCCAATGAATAAGTAGTTGGTCTTACAAAATTCTATCATGCAATCTCTAGCGTAGTTTCTATTACTAAGGTCCTATTTTCCAATAGTGGTTCTTCTTCTTTCATTCCAATCACCAATAATTATCACTGCATTTTGATTGCATTTTAATGTAGTAACTGGTAAAGATTTTTAAATTTTTCATCTTTGGCATCAGTGTTTGGTGTATAAGTTTGAATAGTAGTAGCAACTGGTCTTCCTTGTAGGTGTAAGGTTATTAATCGTATTACTGACAGTGCTGTACTTCAGGACAGACCTTCAAATATTTGTTCTGACAATGAATGCAATGGCAGTCCTTTTCAATGTCATTCCCCAGCATAGTAAACTGTGTGACTGTTTCATTTAAAATGCCCAACACTAAACCATTTCAGCTTATTAATGCCTATGATTAATTGATCTTCAAGTATTCTATTTCATTTCTGAGAACTTCTCATTTTCCAAGACTCACGCTATGTACATTTCCTATTCTAGTTAATGGATGTCTGCAGCTGTTTCTATTCATTACTGAGTCATACCACATCAGCAAATGAAGGCCCCAAAAGTTTTACATCTACCATGTCATTAAGGTCAACTCTGAGCAGACAGGTCTTCACTAGATGCATTCTGAAACTCTTCCAACATGGGGGCTCATCTCCTGACACTACATCAAACAATGTTCTGCTGCTCCTCATAGGGTTATCACTGGCTAACTTTTGGGGCACGCAGACTGCCAGGTCCTTTCTTACTAGTCTGTCTTACTCTGGAAGCTCTGATGAAACCTGTCCACAGTGCTAATATCTAAAATACTCTTGTCTGTCACTTGGTCATACTACAGTCGCGTCCTTGTTACTGTGCTGCTGGAAGCTATGCCAACAGTGTTTCAAATACCAGCAAGGTCTGATGGGTTTAAGAATACTAATGCTGAGGGGATTATTTCTCACAACTGTTGTTAAGTGCCATCAAATTGGTTCTGATTCACAGAGATGTTGTATAGGCTTTCCAAGACTGTAAATCTTAGTGAAGCAAAAAGCCTCCTTTCTCCTGCAGAGCAGCTAGTGAGCTCAAACTTCTGACCTTGTGGTTTGCAGTCCAGCACTTATCCTACAGACCTACAACAACCCCATTTTTCATAATGTGTTAAGTGCCGATGACTTGGTTCCAACTCATAACGATGCTGTATAGGGTTTCAGAGGAGCGGCTGGTGAGTCTTAACTGCCAACCTGTGGTTCAAACAGACTGTTCATTCTATAGCACCACACCAGGACTCCATTTGTGGGGGTGGAATTCTTAAGTTTTCTCACATCAGGCTTCCAAAAAGCTTAAAAGATTCCACCTCCCCAAAAAAGTTCCTAATTATCCCCTTTACCAAAAGTACCACTGTGATAGCATCCTAGCTCTGTGTTCAGCTTACCTTTCTTAAACACACTACACTCCAAGAGTAGCATTACGGGTCATCCCTCCCTGCAATGAGGGAAGCTGTGACATAGAGATGAACTAACTTACCCACTGTCCTGTGGCAGAGATGGCAGAGCCATCAATGAGACACACGACAGAACAGTCACAATGGACTCAAACATACCAACAACCAGAAGGCTGGCCCAGGATGGGGCAACATTTTGTTCTGTTACATGGGGCATCATTATGAGTCAAAGCTGACTCGAGAGCATCAACAACATCTAACTCCAAAGCTGAGTAATTTCTGGTTACTCTCTGTATGAGAGGCTTCAAAAAGTTTGTCGAGTATTGAAGAAATAATGATATTTTTCAACAAAACTTTTTGAAACCCCCTCATGCTACCTTGGGAAATGATTTATATAATGAGCTTTAAATATCTCAGTTCTGATGTTTAAAAGAATTATTTAAACATACCATTAAACAATTCAAAATAATGCCTTTTTTAAATACATTCAAAGCAGTATGAATGTTTTCATGTAATACGAAAATTTTTCATTTGATTCTCATCCAGGAAAATAATTCATATCAGTTCTTTAAATCTTTTGAAATTAAATGACCTGCAAGTTACAAGGCCGAGGCATAACCAACAACCTATAAACCTTATTCTAAAATACTCTTAAGTATTCAAAAACACTTTTTACTAAAAGCAGGTAAGAATGTTCCAAATGTTGCAAAAACAAGGACACGGACATAACCAGGACATAACCAGGAGTTCTGCTCTGTCTCTCAGGTTCCACGGCTGTAAATTACAGGGTAATATTAGTAATCTGAGATCCCTCCTGTCCTTACAAAGCCCCAATAAACTGTAAAAACCAACTAAAACTGCATACCAGATAATATATATAACTGGCAAAGAAAAAGATTGTCATTATTGGTTTTGTTTGTCTTGCTTGAGAACAAGGAAAGTATTTAGAAACAAAACACAATTCACTCATCTATTTCTGTAAGAAAACACTAAAAATTCACTCTAATAATTACAATAGTTACCATATCAAAATTAACTATTTAAAAGTCATTGCAAGCAATCATCTAGAAATTAAAACTACTAACAAGCCTACTTAATTGTCACAAGAGTTTAAGCACTAATACATGCTACATTTTATACAGTTTGTAACTTCAGCCTCTGGTAATGTCTGCATAAGGTATGAATGCTCAGAACCCCAGCCTTGTTATTACTTTTAAATTACCTGAAATTTTTCATCTGATCATAATAAAATCTAATTTAAAAAATATTAATAGGTTAAGAAAGTTTCCCATAATCACAATTATACTTACTGTAATGCACATCAACTGGATGCTCCTAGCAACTTTTATATTTTAAGAACTTAGTATTAACCAGAAGACCAATGACAGCATATGAACAAAATGATGTAGCATGATTGTTTCTTAAGAAAACGATTTAGTATCTACCTGTGTCAGTTACAGTAAGTGCAGACCTGCCTGTTTTCATTTTTTTTAACTTTTCCCTTCCTGGAAAGACACCACTACTTTGTCTTTGTAGGGTATTGACAAACTCAGTCAATTCACACTTCCACGTTGATATGTGGTGCAGTCTTGAATGAGAATAGAAGTCTGAAATAAAACCGCAATCTGAAGGTTTGGATGGCACTGAAGGTGCTGCCTTACTAAGAGAAGGTACTGAAGAAGTGCTTTTTGTGCTTGAAGGCCCCTGAACAGTGGATTGGTGAGCACCGTTTATTTTAGTGGTACTATGCAAAGATGATAATGAGAAGGGATTAGTTCTGTGTGGACTCCGCACAGCATCTGTGTTTCTGTTGCTGTGCTGCAACTGTTGCACAGTGCAGTCTCTGAATTCAGCTCTGCTCTTCTCAGCCTTCTCCTCCTCCTCAGCGCAGTCTGGAGAAAGCCTGCTGGCAACACTGTTACCCACGGGCACCAAGCAATCCTGTGTCTTTAAGGCACCATTCGAGCTATAAGTGTGTCCATTCAACATGGCAGTACTGTCTCTGTGATGTGGAATTCCGTTTTGTTTCTGCCCAGTAAGGATCTGCTCCAGCTCCACACAACTAAAATCATTATTTGTATCTTCTTCATTCCAACTGTTTACTCCATTGACTTTGATTTCATTTTCTGTCTCAGTCTTCTTAATTATGTGATTTCTAAAGCAGGAAAAAGTTTTTCATTAATTTCTGACTTCCAAACGAAAACCATTTTTACAGTTCAACATTTTCTTAGTGATACACATTTTAATATTCCCCCAATAAGTGAAAAATTAAACCACAAACTTTATGTTGTTTGTTCTGAAAAAAATAACCTTTTGTTAAACCAAAGTAGCAAGATAACAAGGAAAATTCTTTAACATTAACAGCCTTCTAGTTTTTTGTTATTTTTGACAATTTCAATAAGGACTACATTAGGATCTTTCTCATGATTAAACAGAAATTCAAAATAATCTTTTCAATTGCTTTTCCCACCAAAAATTAATTGGAATCTGAGGCTCCAAATACTCAATTCATATTATAGTGACTGGAGTTTAATAGGTAGTCAATAAATAAAAGCTGAATCAATACAGTATGAATAAGTCCCATAACAATGGATAAGAAACGCTATTTGAATTCTTATTCGTAGTTTTAATTTATGAAAGGTAGTATTCAACTTATTTAATCAAATATGTGATTCAGTACAATGTGATTAAAGTTCACTAAAGCCAGTTAGTTTTAGTCAAGAAAAACTACTGACACAGAATATATTAACTCCAGGAGACAAACTGTTAAGATATGTAAATTAAAAAGAACCAGGTCAATGTGCACAGAAAAATTTATACCTAGACAAATGAGGGCACATGCCCTATTGACAAGGGAAAATGCCTTCTCATTTTAAGAAAAACATACTTAGATGTAACAGTGGTACCAGGAAATGTGGATCGTTTCCTGATGCCAAATTTATAAATGCAAGCCTCCTATGACAAATATTATGTCAAATTCACACCCTAGTTACTCTAGATGTCTGCTTGGTTCTGTTCTGAAATAAAGACAAAATCCAATTGCATTTACAAAAATCATCTAAGTAGCAAAATCAGAAAGCTTTATTACCAAATGGTAATTCCTTCTACTTGGAAATGTCCAGAGCATTAATTCATACTAACAGTTCATCGGGCTAAAACAAAAGGGTAAAACAAAAACCAAACCCACTGCCTATGAGTGGATTCCAACCCAGAGCAGACCAGCAAGAGTGAGCAGAACTGCCCCAGAGGGTTCTAAGGCTGTCACCTCCACAGGAGCTGACTGCAACGTCTTTCTCATGTGGCAGTAAGCTGTTGAACAAACCAATGCACCATGGGGCACTTTAATGAAGAGGCTTGTTGTGTTGTTGTGAAGTGCAGTTGAGTCGGTTCCAACCCACAGTGACCCTGTATAGGGTTTCTGAGGAGCAGCAGGTGCGCTTGCAATGCCGACCTTGTAGTTCAAACGGCTTTGCAGTCTGACACATTAACCCACAGCGCCACACCAGGATTCCAATGAAGTGGTGGTGGTGGTGGTGGTGGTGATGTGCCACGGAGTCGGTTCCGACTCACAGCGACCCTGTACAGGGTTTCAAAGGCTGTATATCTTTACGAGAGCAAAAAGCCTCATCTTTCTCCTGCGGAACAGCTGGTAGTTTCAAAGGGGTGGCACCCATTAATTAGCACCAGAACACAGGTAAAACTAAGTATTACCAAATTTTGTCTGAAAAGTTCCTCACCCTAATACCAACTTGGTTCATTACCAACGAGTCTTAAGTACCCAAAAGGAGGCTGCAAAGCATTACCAGCCATTTCTGGGTGGCTCGGGTTCTGACTGACCATCTTAGGGAATATGACAGTCAACTCTGAGTAGATCCAATTCTCATAGATGATCCAGAGAAAGGGATAAAGAAGAGAAACTAGAAACAATTCAAACAGGAAAAGTGAACTTGTTACATCAAAGAAAGCCTGGCCTTTGAGATAAAAAGAAACCCAAGCGGGGAGGAGTACAGGGGGACAAAAAGTCACATTGTAAAATGTACTGAATGAGCCAAAAATCATCACAAGGAACAGAGATGAAGTCAGAAAAGCCTTAAATCTATTTTTCTGGGTCAACACATGATGATTCTTTGTATGTATAATACTAACATACATAACAGGATTACATTTACTGGCAAGAACAGTGTTATACACATTCTTTGTGTACTATAGCTTCTCAACCTAGACAAAAGATGTTCGCAAATTAGCTATACTGGAAATGTTATCACTGTGAGGTAAATACCTACTATATAAGAGCAAAAATAGATTAAGAAACAAAAACTAAAAAGTAAAAATCTTGCAAAAATTATCGCAAAACTTTGAAAATACTTGCTTTTTATTTTTATTAGTGTTGCTAAGACGAAAAGAAGCTGTATATTCTGTGAAAAGGTTTTCTGATATTATTTATTGTACTTTCTTAACAGATTTTTTTTTTTTTTCAAAGTGAGGTTTTAGGTAAATGTGAATAAAGTGAATAAGCTTCTAAGTTAATACAAGTAAAAAAACAAGTAAGAACAACAATTACAAAAGGGAGTGATATTGGATCCTCCCAGGTTAATTAGATTCCTGGTCTTTTGGAAAAAATATATCCAATTCCCAAAGCAAGCAATTTAATAAATAAGGCTAAATGATAATGAACCACTTGATATACAAGTTAAGGCAGCACACAACTTAATTGTGAAACCAACTTACCCAGGATTATTACAATTAAAGCAACAATCAATATACTTTTAAAAATCAGCCACATTGGAACAAAATCTAGACTCACCCCCTAATGTGAAGATCATCAACTAAACTTCCATTGATATAAAACATTTACATATTTAGAATTGTCATTTTGGGGAAGCTTTCACAAATAACCTAGAAATGTTAACATATTCCTTAACACAAAACAAAAGAAGTTAATTCAGCTTTTGAAATAAGAAACATTCTATAGCAAATTACTTCTGTGGAAATAAATGCCTTTAGGAAAATACATGAAAAATTTTACTACTAATAATTTAAGATGCATTGGTTAACATGGGAATGAATATAATACGATTAGAAAATATCATTTTTATTTAGAAAACATTCATCATAAAAATAATTTATTTTTAGGTAAGACACATCAAATACACATTTCAACAAATTTAATACAGATTAATGGCCAGATTTTGTATTTGTTTCTATTTTCATCAAAGCAAGGGCCATATTCACTGCTAAAAACCAGCTTTGTAATATTCCCAGCCTAGACAAACTTACACCCTGTTGTTGAGCTGTTTGGCTATATTGCTTGGACCTGGCATAGGATCTTCAGGTTTGCAAACGGAAGTAAAGTTGAGACCTCTCTGCACAGTGGAATGCTTGGTGTATAGCTGATACGGAATGCAGGATAGGAGTCGTCCAGCTTTGATGCTGAAACGAAAACGCAATTAACAATTTAAAAATAATTCTTAAACACATTTCATGAAAAATAAAAATTTCTTAATAAGTATTTATCAGCAATAAGCTATTTGTTTTCCTAGCTTAATCTCTCTTCCTCTGTTTTGTTGTTGCTAAGTGCCATCGAGTCAATTCCAACTCATAGAGAACCCATATACGGTTGCCAAGTAGCAGCTAGTGAGTCTGAACCATCAACCACTGGGTTAGCAGTCCAGTACTTTTTCTACAGACTCCTCTGTTTTAGTGGTTATTAGCATTTTTGACAATTTCTAATTTTCTTAGATTCGTATGTCATACAGTCCATGTTCTGATTATTTACTAATAGATGTTTACAGCTGTTTCTCTTCACAACTTAAAATGAAGAGAAAGAGCTGTAAAAATCCATGTATAATAGGGACATGGAATCACATAACCATGTGATTATGGAAACAGTAAACTGAAGAGAAATGGCATCCCATTCATTATCAAAAACACCATATCAAGATCTGTCTTGAAGTACAGCACTGTCTCAGCTAGGATAATATCCACGTGCCTACAAGGAAGACCAGTCAATACAACTATTACTCAAATTTACCTACCAACCACTAACGCCAGTGATGATTAAACTTAAGAAGTCTACCAACTTCTTTAGTCTGAAACTGATCAAACATGCAATCAATATGTACTGATAAATTACAAGCAACTGGAATGCAAAGGTTGGAAAGAAAGAGAAAGAATCAGTAGTTGGAAAATAAGAACTTGTAAGACTAATAACTTCATTGCAAAAACCTTTTTTAAATAGCATAAAAGGTGACATGGACCTCACAGGATGGAATCCACAGAAATCAAAATGATTACCTCTATGGAAAGGGACAGTGGAAAAACTCATCATTAGCCAAAACAAATCCAGGGGCGAATGTGAAATAGATTATCAACTGCTGATAAGAACATCAGACAGGAAGAAAGCAAAACTTAATTAAGAAGATAATAAAGAAGGAAAAGTCCAAAATGGATGTCAAAAGAGACTGTGAAACCTGCTCTCCAGCACACAGATGCTAAAGCAAATGGAAGTAATGAGGAGATAAAAGAACCAAAGAAAATTTCAAAGAGCGGCTTGAAAAGACAAAGTCAAACATTGTAACAAAATGTGGGAAAACCTGGAGTTAGAAAACAAAATGGGAAGAACACACTCAGTATTTCTGAAGCTGCGAGAACTGAAAAAAAAAAAAAAAAATCCAAGCTTCGACTTGAAATATTGAAGCAATATTCTCCTCCAACACCATTAACTCAAAAGCATCAATATTGAAAGTGCCATGAGTTGCCAAAAGAACAAACAGATCTATGTTGGAAGAAGTGCAGCCAGAGTACTCCTTGGCGGCCAGGATGGCTAAACTTCATTTCTCATACTTCAGACATATTATCAGGAGGGACCCAGTCACTGTAGAAGGATATCATGTTTGGTAAGGTGGAGGGTCAGAGAAAAAAGGAAGACCCCCAGCAAGATGGATTGGCAAAGTGGCAGCATCAATGGGCTCAAGCGTGGCCCAGGATTGGGCAGTGTTTCGATCTGTTGTGCACAGGGTCGCTATGAGTCAGTACCAGCTCGATGGCACCTAACAACAACAACATGGGCAAAATATTGAATGATGCAGTCAATATCAAAAGAAGATGAAAGGAATGCATAGAGTCACTGTATCAAAAAGAAATGGTTGATGTTTAATCATTTCAAGAGGTAACATGATGAAGGGCCAATGATAATGAAAGAAGACATCCAAGGTGCACTGAAGGAAATGACAAAAAAACAATGTACAGGGAACTGATGGAATACAAATTGAAATCTTTCAACAAAGTGAGACGGTACTCACTCATCTATGACAAAAAATTTGGAAGTCAGCTACCTGGCCAACTGACTATAAAAAGATCTTCATTTGTGCCCAGTCCAAAGAGAGGTGACTCAAAGGAAATATCTTTAAAATCACATGCAAGTATAAATTTGCTAAAGATAATACAAAAACGGCTGCAACCATACATAGAGAACTTCCAGAGGTTCAAACTGGATTCAAAAGAGGACATGAAATGAGGGATATCATTGCTGCCATCAGATTGATCTTGTCTGAAAGCAGAGACTATCAGAAAGATGTTTACCCTTGATTTATTGATTACACAAACACTTTCGATTGTGTGGATCATGACAATCGATGGACAACACTGTGAAAAGAGTATTCCAGAAAACTTGAAAGTACTCATGAGGAACCTGTACATACACCAGGAGGCAATTATTTGAACAGAACAAGGGAAGACAATGGTGTAAAATTAGGAAAGGTGTGTGCCAGGGTTATATTCTTTCACCACACTTATTATTCAATGTGTAGGTTGAGAACATAATCTGAGAAGTTCCACTGTATGAAGACAGTGGCATAAGGATTGGAGGAAAACCCATTAACAACCTGCAATATGCAGATGATACAAACTTGCTTGCTGCAAGTGAAGAGGACTTAAAATACTGGTGAAGATCAGGATCACAGCCTTTAGTATGGGTTGCACCTTAATGTAAAGAAAACAAAAATCTTCACAATTGGATCAATAAACAATATATATATATTGTTGTTGTTATGTGCCGTGGAGTCGGTTCCAACTCATAGCGACCCTGTACAGGGTTTCCGAGGCTGTAAATCTTTACGGGAGCAGAAAGCCTCATCTTTCTCCCACGGAACAGCTGGTAATTTCGAATTGCTGACCGTGAGATTAGCAGCCCAATTCGTAACCACTACGCTACCAGAGGTCCATATATATATATGGAGAAAAGATTGAAGTTGTCAAAGAATTCTGTTGGGATCATCCATCAACACTCACAGTAAGAGCAGTCAAAATATCAAACAACATACTGCATTAGGCAAGTTTATTGCACAAAGACCTCTCTAAAGTGTTGAAGATCAAAGATGTCATTTGAGGACTAAGGTGTATCTTAGTCAGGTAATGATATTTTCAGTAACTTAGTATGTATGTGAAAATTGCACAGTGAATAAGGAACACCATAAAAGAATTGATGTATTTGAATTATGGTGCTGGAGGAGAATGCTGAAAGTACAATGAACTACCGAAAGAACAGATCTGTATTGGAAGATGTACAGCCAGAATGTTCCTTGGAAGCCAAAGTGACCAGACTTTATCTTACTTAGGACATATTATCAGGAGGGACCAGTCCCTGGAGGACATCATGTTTGGTAAAGTGGCGGGTCAGTGAAAGAGAGGAAGATCCTCAACAAGATAGAGTGGCACAGTGGCAGCAGCAATGGGCTCAAGGATAGCCAAGCTTGTGAGGCTGGCACATTCTGTTATGCATAGGGTCAATGTTAAGTCAGTACTGACTCGATGGTACCTAACAACCAACAACAATACAAAATAATTCTACTTAAAAACACTAAAGAATAAGACAGTTCACCCATGGAAAGACATACAGCACAACTGACATTTTTAATAAAGAGTGACCAACAACCTTACATGTTGTTAAGCGCCATCGAGCCAGTCAGTTCGACTCAAAACTATCCTGTATGGGATTTCCAAGGAGCACCTGCTGAGTTTGAACCACAGATATTTTGGTTATTAGCAGTCTGGTGCTTATCCCACAGTACCAAAAAAAAAAAAAAGCCTAAAATAAACAAGAACTAAAGTTCTACTGAATCAATCACAACTCACGGCCACCCCATGTGTTCCACAGTGTTGTCAACGGCTAATTTTTCAGAAGCAGATCACCAGGCCTTTCTTCCAAGGCATGTCTGGGGGCTGGAACATCCAGTCTTTCCTTAGCAGGTGAGCATGTTAACCACGTACACCACCCAAGAATCCAGAGTTGAACTAGTCAATATTTTAATCATCATGGCTTTATTACCCATTGCCTTCACGTAAAGTTAACCAGTTGATTACGTTTTTATATTTGTCACACTGGAATTGTTTTATGAGTCAGGTCTATTAAACCCTGCATGGTGTCTGCTCAGAGCCCAACAAACCAAACCTGTCATCAGAGAATCAATGACAACTCAGGGCAGTCCTACAGGGCAGAGGAGAACTGCTCCAGAGGGTCTCCTGAGTTGCAAATGTGACAGGAGCAGACCACCACCTTTTCCTCCCTGGAGAAGCTGGTGAGTGTGCAAACCAATGAACTTTGGCTAACAGCCGCACACCTGATAATTTTTACCACCAGAGATTCTTTCATTTTAAAAAGACACTAGCACTCCCCTCTTTCAAACGATTAACAAAGAATCATTAAGACCTTTTCAAATTTCATATCCCATATTAAGCTTTTCCAGAAAAAGTAAGCTTGGAGAGTAAGGATTCTCAATATCCATAAACTTTAGTCACTTGTCCTTCCTTATCATACTCATGCTAGGTCTACTAAATGTGAAAAACTAACTAGCAAAACTACAGGACAGAATCAAGAATTTAAAATCCAAAAATATTAAATAATTTGTATTATTTTTGTGTGAGAGTTATGAAAACACGGCCATTTGAGGACGTAAGTTCTAAGAGAGTAGAAACGATCACATATATCTCCTCTTCAAATATTCACTACATTTCAAGCATCACATCACCATATAAGCCAGAGAAACACTTAGAACATAACTGAAACTCCCAAACACCTATTTTCTTGTCTTCTTTTCAAAACTAATTTGATTAAGTGGCCTTCAACTGTTTCTTGCTTCCTAATAAACTGGATTATATATGCCCACTCTATCGCTAAAAATATCATTTGCATTCAAATTTAAGATAGCCCACCAATATACTTATGTTAACATTCAAATGCTAAAACAGTATTCTAAAGATTGTGTGCTGGTGGCCAGAAGGCAGGCTTGCAGAATGTGCCCTTTGGTTGTTTAAATGATTATATATTCTTGAGTATTTTTGTGTACATCAAAAAAGAAAAACACTGAGTGAGTAGAATACTGTTGAATGATGATGCATAGACGGGATTATAATCATTGCAATGAAATGAACTA